CTCCAGCCAATCGACTGTCTTACTCCCCTCCGTCACCCCGTCTATCGAGCGTCTTAAAAATGATTTTATTAGAATAGAGAGGATTTCATGCAAAATTGAAAGGGAACATTTTTATAGGTTTACTTTGACAAAAAACACAAAAAAATCACTCACACACCATCTGATATTTTTTAGCGTTACAACTTAGATACACATTTTTCGGATTCAGAAATCGAAATATGGCAACATCCTGATTCCAGATACCTAACTCCATAGTCACACCATCCGCATACATATCCCGTACGCAACCTGCTCAATTGTCTAGTCCCGGCAAAAATGATTGACGCTCCACATAATTATCGCCGCCTCTCTGACGTGAGGGCGTATCTCGATTTCCACATGATCCTTGAAAAGCACGGAGCTATATGTAGAGCAGGGTTCGTGTGGAAATTGAGATATGCCCTTACGTCAGAGGAAGGACGAATTATATCGCACGACGATTGCGCGGAGTTCCCTGCTTTGATCAATGTTCAGGAACTGAGCGCCTTGACGGTTCAAGTTACGTCAGTTGCAGGTACATAGATGAGCAAATTATTTCCAAGTTGATACGAACTTCATCTCGTCACAAAATCAGTCATAATGCACCGTGTCATACCTGCTTTTGATGGATTGCAGTCGATGCGATTTCAGCTCGTTGGAGGGGCAAGATTTTCAATCTGCCTGACATGACCCTAAGTAGTAATCGTAGCACGATTTAAAGCGCTCCTACCTTGTTCGCACAATATCGATTGCTTACCCTAAATCACATCTTACTCTATAATACAGGGTGTCCCAGGAATAAGTGCGAATATTGAATGAGTCAATGTTTTGGATCAAAAAAAGACTTTTTTGTGGTATAAGTTTTTCTCCGAAAACACCTTCCTTGGGGGCTACGGCCCCCCAAAGTTGGAGAAAAAAATCGTCTTCCTAATAATAGCTTTTATTCGCAAAATGTGGTCCAGTTGCAGGCTAATTTGAAATTCCTGCCCGGCCCGATTTTGGGGGAGCTATCACCTTAATTTCTTTGCGAAAAACGCTTAGAATATCCAAAGGCAAGGACAATTGAAGTATGTTTCTAATTTTTGTTCGATTTTTATTTTATTGCTTTTTTTAAACTTCAGGGAATATGGAACGTTGGGAACTGAGATGCATGGTTCCGTAGTCCCATCATGAAGTTGACTACATTTTGCGATGAGGAGCCGCTATTTCCAGTTCATCCAAAAATGCAGCTACCCTCGTAGGGAAGCTATTATTTTTGCGATCGGTCGGGGGTAAGTGTTTGTGAAGGGAGGAGACAAGCCACCTATTTCACTCGACAGGATTGCGATAAAAACTGTTGAGCGCTTGTCTCGCTTGAGAAGAAGATGATGATCGTCATGATGCTAAAACAAACCCCGGAGACTGTGTTTGAGTTGGGCTGCGCTAAATGGGTAAATAGTTGATTTTTAGTGGCCGGAAGCCGTGATGGAAGCATGAATATGGCCAAACGCCAAAACCATGTGTTTTCATAGCGACGCGCGACGTTCCAAAATTTCCACAAAGGAAAAGACGAAGGGATTTGACGTGAAACAATCAAAATTACGGTCGGAACATTTTATGAGAAAACCTTGAAATGCCGCGGAATCATAAATGTAAGTTGAAGTTTTTGAGCCATAATTATGATTTGCTCTCCTTTTAAATACTAAAATTTTGTAAACAATGGACCACTAGACTAGGTACGAATTTAAGCATTCTGATACATGTTTCATAACCAGAATTTCACGCAGAGCACAATTCGCGCAACAAAAATTAATGAAACAAACTCCAGGCGAAGATATTAACGTTTTTATTTCACATTGGTTACGAGGAATTTGAACTGCCCACTGACAAGAAACTCAAAGCTCTACGGGAGTCAAATCGCGCACTACAACGGTTTCAACAAGCTTCTCAAACGAATAATGTTCATTTCCCACCATGTGTTGTTCAAACTATAAGCAATTTGCTACAGCTGAGCCAAAGCGTCAGTATTGAGGTTGCCAGATTTTTAAATCGCAGAGACTGTCACGACAACGTTTTGGCGCACGATGTGAATCACGCATTGAGTTTTCATGAGCGGATGGTTTGAATTCACGCATCAAGAATCATTAAATATCTTCTCCTTTCAATTTTGCGTGATTTTTTTTAGCATTTCACAAGAGCTGTCCTTACTGCCGTCTGGAATAAAATGGCACCTGCAATCAAACATTCGAAATCCATCTACTGTGCGACACGTTGGAGAGGAAATTATCGTTCCGGGACACGTAACAGAGAGTCGGCCACGTATGTACGCTGAGATTCGGGAAGCTGATAGTTGTGAAATCTCTAAAAAGGAGCATAAAATTTTATTGAGCTCTTATACTTTAAGCGGTGTGCTTGGAACTTGTCACGAGGGGTCTCGTGTGTTGTCGCTTGCCACCACCGATCCTTGTTGCCAAACAGGGACCCGGTAATCCCCCTCCCACCCCTTAATCCCCCCCCTCCGAATTCGAAAAACCCTATGATCCGTGAGAGCGAACTGGCTTGTTGCTTTTATTTTCAAGTGCTCAGCAGCATCCGCTGAAACAGTTTGGCTATCGTACACAATATTGATGTATAGAATAAAACATAAGTAAATTTTATTTTTAGATTAGATATCTAGATTGTGCAGCAATGAGTCCAGTCGACTACGTCATTTCACTAGAAATAAGCGAATCACTTCTTACAATAACTCCAAGGGTGGACTGGCTATATATGTCCTCTTAAAGATAGTTTTGAAGTGATAAAAAGGGAGGGGGGAGGTTCTGAGGAGGGCCGTATGAGTTCTGCGAGCTCGTTGAAATTTTCGCTCTTTAACGTCTAAATTATTTTTCCAGGAAAAAAAAATCCAAATAAAGGACGTCTGGTTAAAGTCGGTCAAAGGAAATCCTACGAATCATGCTCAGGTACCTAATTTTTTGTCATTCCAGGGACCGGAAACTTTTTGCGGATAATTGACAATGTCGCAATGAAAATCAGAAATAGTTTACGCTGTCGTTCCAGAGAAATTGAAGACGCTCTATAATTTACGATCCTAGTGTGGTACAACTCGCCGCCGCTCTGCGCCGGTGAAGCGATCCGAGCCTTGAGAATCAAAACGCCTTCCCTTCCGTGCGTATGCAACACGGACATCCGTAGAGCCCGAATAGTTGCATCCAGGCGTTACTATGAAATTCGTTTAGTTAGTATCCGTCGCATGCGACACTAACTAGGGGAGCTTTGTTAGTTCCTCGTACGCCTTAACTTAATTTCAGCGTTGTCCATCGTGACAACGATGTAAACTATTACTGACTTATACCGTGGACTAAAACTTGTTGAAAAATCTCTTACGTTACTCATTGCTTACTGAAATAATCAAACTGGCGCACCAGTACATAAGTTCATACAAAACTAATCAACGACGAAGTATTCAAATGAAGCCAGCCTAACATTCCTCGTAAAAATCATCAGGAAAATCGTAATCAAGTGAATGTTTCTTCTTAAATTTTCTTTCATTTAGGTACGAGTATTCGCGCTTTCACCAGCAAGTTCACCAAACTTCTGTGCTCGTTCGTCTTTTGCATAGAGACTATTTGATTTCATGTGATTTAAAAAGAAAATGTTAGATTGTAACCAGGTTTTTAATACAGATGCAGTTTTTCTTGTCTCCTTTTCGCCTGTTTCAAGACCAATAATTTGCGCAAACGACTCTCTGCTTTCGTTACCCCCAAAAGCGCACATCTTCATCGGATCTTTTGAAATTTATGCTTTTGGAATTTAATCCTCCTACTTCCCCGGCCAGTCTGCTCCTGTACGACACCGAATCGAATATATATAAATAAACAAGACGAAAAGGCAAAATGTCATGCTAAGGTGTTTGTTAAATACATTAAGTACAAAGTTAAATACATTGAGTACAAAGTTAAATACATTAAACTACAACGGCTTGATACCAACTAGAAGTAACACTTTTTTAGAAAGCAACCTAATTTCAAAAACTTTTTTGTACAAAATATCCACTGGAATAATTTTAATGATTTCTACTATATTCCTGGCTTTGGCGCCAGCCAGAAGTTTAGTTTCATCAGCCAGAGGTACCTATAGTTTCATCAGTCAGAGGTATAGTTAAGTCGGCCAGAAATGTGGTTGAATCAACCGCCATATCTCTGGCAGACGCCAAAATCAGCCAGGAATATGGCTGGAATTATCATATTTTTGCCGCACTGTCCTTTAAATATATTTATTTCTGTCATTTCATGTGAAAATTACGTTCGACTCCCGCCGACTCTCAGATAAGTTTAGCGCTCGTATAATTTCAGGAACCCTTCGCGACGCGTGAAGTGCGCTATTAATTCAAATATCGCCACCCCATATCGAACTTGCACAGAGAGCGCTGGGTTGAGTCGAGCGGAGAACTATTCAGCAACGCGAATCCCTTACAACCGGAGCAGTGGCGTTGCGTACTTTGCGATAAATCGATTGATCTGCCATATAAACCTATAGAGAAGGATCGATGAAGAGGTTGTTCGCAACGAACACCTTAATGAACGATTCTTTACCGTAGCTTCAAATGGAAAAATATCGATAATCGATCGTTTACGCCTTGCCACTGAGCCGGAGTGAGCCGTTGCCTCGAGATGATAATCTTGGTCTCAGCGGCTCGGTGTATTGCCGCGCTACGGTAAACAGCCGTAAGTGCAATCCAGCCTGAGACGCAGTTATCACTATCCGTTCATGCACTCTATGGCCCAGGCCGAATTACACTTACTGCTGTATATCGTAGTGCGGGAAAGCACCGGAGACAGATACCTTCAATGCACCCACCTTAACGCGCGCAACAGTCGACAAATCTTGACTTAATGCAGTAGCTTCGCTTCGCCCGCGACAAGATCGAATATGCGGCTATAACTTCCGTTGTATCGTCGCTTAATGCATTCGCCATGATAATGTCGCCTCGTAAATTGTTTCAGATTAACCCTCACGCTGTCGTGCGCCATGAATTTCATGATATACCCGCACGACACTCAGGAATGCAAACTCCAAATGGAAAGTTGTAAGTGTGATATAATAATATCCTTTCTTTTCACGCATGAATAACGATGGAAACGCAATTTGGAAACGAGCCATAGCCATCATTCGGGGGAAGCATCGCAATTCGCAATCATATCTCCTCGCTTTCGCATTTACACGTCTTCGGCGAGTTCTAACGAGTAGAGAGAAGGAAGAAACAAGGAGGAGTCGCTGATATAATAAAAAAACCTGTAACGACTGACGCAACGCTTTCCGTTCATAACGAGAGCTGTGATAGCGTCTTTAAATCAAAATCAAGTTAATTGACTGAATAGCTGAAAGTAATGCAGTTTAAGGTGGCAAAGGACTGACTGCACAGGGACTCTTTACTGAGAAAAAATTTTAAAACATTTTTATAATAAATAAAGACTCCCTTTGTTTTAAAGAAAATTTGTTCAATTCCCAGACAATTTCTTTTGGGTAAAAAAAATTTTTTTTGGATTTTTTTCTTTAAAATTTTGATGGGAGTTATGCATTGCAATGTTTTGTCTTTCATACGTTCTCCAGTGTTTCTTTAGCATGCTGCCTGCTCTTATAGTTGAAATTAAACTTGAGTAAAAAAAAAATGGAAAGCTCGAGTTCAAGCAAATGTCAAATTCGGATTTTTTGCTTCTTATCTGTTCTTACTGCAGCAAGAAACCAAGCTCAGATTTTAAAAAGGTAGATTGCATTCTAGAATCCATACTATCCAGCTTAATTTCGCAACCCATTGGAAAATGTTTGACTTATCTGGTTTTTAAATTATTTCGTTTTATCAAATTCCTAAATGATTCTTGGGGCTTTTTTAGCGAGTTTTATCTCATTTTCTAATTTTATCATTCTCCCTCAATATTTGGCTCTCTCGAGCAATTGGCGATTGGCGATTGGCAACCAATCCAGTCATTTCACGCTTTATTAATACCAAAATAATGGGACCGCCCTGAATTCAAATTCCAACCTCACTGAATCAATGATAAAGGAAGACATTTTAATAACAACGGTAATCTGTTTAAAGAAACGTATAAAAATCAGGTTGGATGAACGTACCTTTGATTACATGCTTTGACGCAACATTTTGCTAAAAAAATCAGGATTATGTTAAAATATGCTGCTATCGTCTGGAAGAAAAGAGAGAGAGGGGATATAAGGAAAATGACGCATAGCCACGGGAAATCAACCGTCCGTAAAAACTCAAAGTCACGAATTATTTCGTACCACTGAGGAACAAATAAGTGGTGCTCCGAGTAGAAGGAAAACCGAAGGGAGAAGAGAGGATAAAGTCGATTTTTGGAGGTTGGGGGTTTTAATTTGCGTATTAGCTCTCTCTTATGCCCGAAATCATGTGGTATGGTGTCAAATCTACACGATAAATACCTGAATTTCTCCTCTTTGAAAATATTCTGAACGTCCCGGAATGCGTTGGAGGCAACGCTTTATCTAAGAAAAAATCATCCGAAAGGCGTTAGATGTATGGAGCCATTCAAATATTTTGTAAACGAATTTCACAGATGTTTTTAGTGGCAATTCATGTAATTTGGTATGGATTATTTCCCTCAATCTAAATGCATTACGAACTAGTCGATTCTAGATGAGGCACCTTCCCTCGAAAAACATCTAATGTTTTGCACAAATTGGACGGATCTAATCATACACAGTGATTTTGAAGCAAAAAATAACCCGCAAAAAATGTACCCAAAAATTGTTTGAAGGGGGTGAGTCTATGGTGCGCATGGACTTAAAATCGCGAAAAATCAAAATTTTTGGCTGATCCTAATTTCGAGTTACCGGATTTCGAAATTTGCATAGTAAATGCAAGTTTTCGACTGATATTGATCCGCTTTTTATTAATTTGTCCATTGAATCGGAGTTGATCGCTTCACGTTTTTATGTTTCGTCCGATTCATGTTGATCGAATACATACAGTCTCGTCACATGCAGACTACCCATTATACTCTTTTTTTCGCCTTTTTTTAACTGAACTATTCGCCTTCTGCTACGTCTGCAGCGATTGTTGTGACGAATATGTTGTGCGCACTGATTTCAGCTTATTACATACTCGACTCTCTGAAGGCATTTGTATGCGCAAGTAGCGCAATCTGTCGAAGAACTAACGACGTAGGTATTGAGCGATTTACTCAATCTCACTTCTGTTGTTTCGCAACAGGATGATCTACTTTCGTACATAAAACGCCTTCAGAGAGTCAAGTATGTAATAAGCTGAAATCATTGCGCACAACATATTCGTCACAACAATTGCTGCACACGTAGCAGAGGGCGAATTGTTCAGTTAAAAAAAAAAAAGAAAAAAGAGTGTGATAGGTAGTCTGCATGTAACGAAACTGTATATATTCGATCAACATGAATCGAAAGAAACATAAAAACATGAGGCGATCAACACCGATTCAATGGACAAAGTGATAAAAAAAGCGGATCAATATCAGTAGAAAACTTGCATTTACTATGAAATTTTCGAAATTCGGTATCTCGAAATCAGGATTAGCCAAATTTTGATTTTTCGCGATTTTAAGTCCACACGCACCTTAGACTCACGTCCTGCAAAATTTTTTCGGGTACATTTTTACCGGATTATTTTTTGCTTCAAGATCACTGTGTGGAGTTGGTCCACATTTTCCAATTTGGAACTACGATTTCTAGCTCCTTATAGAGACAGTATATGTTTCATTAGTTTCCCTATGTAGATAGGAGTTTTTATGCATAATCCAGGAATTGTAATTCCGAATTGAAAATTGCAGTCCAATTAGCCTTACTACATGAGACGCCGCCTAATTTCCTTTCACGTTTCATTTTCTACAACAAATTATTGATCAACATTCTAATTTGAAATTTTGGCGTAATTCATCCTCAAAAATAGCTTTCAGTGTTTGAGCTGTAATGGAGGAGATCCTAAACGTTATGAGAGAGTCAACCCTATAGATATTCAAACTCTCCGCTCACAGATTGGGAGCGAATACATTAGCAGGGTTGCCACTTTATGCGGTAACTTCAAGGTCAAAATCATGTCAGCCCTCCTGGGATATTCGTTCCCTATCTATGAATCGGAAGTTTGACTGGATATGTAGAGATGGGCACTCGCCGTAACGAAACAATTTCTTCCATTTTGGTTTCAAATTTGAGAGCTTTTTGGACTTGGGAGTTTGCTTCAGAGAAAAACATGGACACCATCGTGCTTAACGCGAAATTTTACATGGAATCGAGTACTAAATTTGCCAATCCTTGTGGCTTGCAAGAGTTCCGCCAAGATAAAAATAAAATTGAAGAGAAGGCCAGAGGGTTTATCGGTTAGTATGATGTTTAACTTCATTAGAGGAACATGTGACCTAATTTAAGGAAAAATATCCTCATATTTACCGCCGAGAAGATTTCCTTATGAGTTAATAAAGAACACAATGTTTTCTTAAAGAAGAAGATATGCTTTTATAAAAAGGAAAGTCTCTTGCATCAAGCAAAAACCCGCTTTTGTCCACGTATTTTATTCTTGATTCAAAATAAAATCTTCTTGACGGCATACTCAAGAATGTTCCTTTATCTCTCTTATCTCGACTTATTTTGCAAGGAAAGTTCCTTACTCTTAAAGGACGCCTGTCATTCTTATTGTTGGTATGTTGGAGTGCCTCTAATTTCGTATAATACTGCACAACACCGCTATTGTGAAATAGTGAAGCGCCCTGGCACGTGGCACGCTGCGGTGCGGCCAACCAGTCAGCACGGAACGCGCAATGGCGCCTACAAACCTAAGGGATACCTCAAGCATTGCGCAATGCGTGAAGTATCTGCTTAGGTTTGTAGGCGCCAGTGCGCGTTTCGTGCTGGCAGCACATCGCGTCGCATCACCCCGCCTTATGCTAGGGCCTATTATTTAAACTCGCGGAGTCAGCGTTTTTCAACTCATGATTTTTATATGTTTGCACACTCTGCATGGATTACTTTAATTTAAATTGATAAAAAAAATATATATGAAAAGAAAATTTAATGTGTGTTTTGTAAATATTAAGGTGTTTTCTTGTCGTACATTTAATGATTTTCAAAGGACATTAATTTTTTCTTTTATATTTTGTGCTTTTACTGTGCTGCAGCGTGGTGTGAACGCAACCAAACGCTCAAAACAGGACGTATTTGACTCTGAAAGATCTATGTACAAATGGGCTAAAACCAAAGATTGCGTGCTTCTCGGTTTTTCCCCTCTTTTATTCATCTGTGCAGTTTCTTTCGACATAACTCCTGCTCATTGACTTTAATATCGATGCCATCGCCTGGAAAAGGTTTTAAAAATATTTGCCACGTTTTAAAAATATACCTTCTCCCGATTCCAGTCAACGGATTAAAAGTCAAGTGAAACATCTTTTCATGGCACTCTACTTTCGGACTTGTATTTCAAGAGCGGGGGCCAAAATCTGCGCTGATCCGTTTCAATCAGTCGGCCTCCTGACATAAAGGCGTAACTACATTTCGCGATGACCCATGTCGTCCATAAAACTCAATGCTTTCTCGGGCTCATCTCAATGTGTAGTTACGCTCTTTTGTCAGTCAAGCGACGGATCATTCTTCCCTTTCCTCGCCCTCTTCTCAGACGGTGATATCTATCTCGAGTGAAGAAGTCTGCTCGCAAATTCCCAAAATACCACGATAACAAGAATAATTGTAGGAATGAAGAGGTATCCTGGGGAGTAATTATGAATGGTTGAAAGTGAAAGGAAGACTTACAGTAGCTCTGAGAGCGAAATAATTGGATTAACGGTAAATGAACCCATTTAGGTATGCCAGAGGTCTATCCACAAAGACTTTTCATCGCGAATTTTTCTTTACAAAAATGGGTCAAAATATTCGAAAGTACTCTAATTTGAGACTTGAAAGGTCGATGGTTTTCTCAAGATTGAACTCATGAACTGGGCCCACCTGGGCTTTGACTCACTTCTGAACTTTCCCTCCTTCACCAAAAAAATTTAGGATGTTGAATGATCGTCCTGCTTTGTTAAAACCATGTGCAAACGTTTGCATCAACTGCCTCTGAAAGGAACTTAACATCCTCAGGATGTGAAATCAACAATATAGGTAGTCGAGACAACAATTTTGAGATTTTCGCACGTTTTTAACAACCTAAATGTCAATTCAACATCCTAATTTTTGTTGGTGGTCCTTGACTTCAGTTTCACGCAGCGTAAGCGTGCGCAAGGTGCCAGTATGTGTCCTAGCATATCCTACAATTGCAGCAATTGCTTTTGCCTAGCTGTTGTTGATGGTTTATCTATAAAAAAGGAACATAACGAGTAAAATTTTCAAGCTAAAATTTTCAGAACTGAGCATCGGTGTAAAACTCTGTCATTTACTTCAAACAGGTTTAAGTATATTTTGGAACTTTCAGGAGTTTTGTTTTGAATAACTAATTTTCTGTTGCAGTGTCCCATACGACCGACGACATGGTCTTCCAATGGGACCCTGAAGTTCCTCTAGTGGTCGGTGAAGACATCGAACTGCCACAGTTACAATTAGTCAAAAATAGGACTGCTGATTGTACACAAGTCTATTCAACAGGTAAGCTATTCCAAATATTTCCACAGATTATCAGCAGTTCTAAAATTGCCAAGAGTAGCGCAGAATTGTCTCTAGAATAATTTATGCAACCGAGAATCTGTAAAGTTATGTGATGTCCTTTGACATTTGGCAAGTTTCAATGAGGTTTTTAATTTCGACTTCAACCGAGAATCACGGATGATGTTTTTAAAAGTACGCCTCGTGAAAATGTGCGGATCCGCGATTATAAGGTCGGAATTTCGCCCGTTAAGAAACGAGAATCATGTTGTTTTCAGATCCATTCAAAACTCATGAGTTTTTGAAAGTCATCAAAATTTATTGAAATTATTGTTTAAAAAAACAACCCCTAGGCAGGTGAAGCGACCTTGAGTCCTCGGTGACAAAGATACCGATTCACATTCATCCTACCGACAGGTCAAAATCACACTAGCAGAATTCAAACATTTGTTACCGTCTAGAAAGCTTGATTTGCACTGATTAAGATGATAATATGTATCGATTGCTAAAGTACGAAACCACGTATCTCTATTCCGGTGTTTCTAAATCTCTGCTCCTATTGTATATTTCCGAACAGAGTCAACTAACACAAGTCAGCTAAATAACTTGAAATTTCTACGGAAAAACGATTTGCTTGCGAAAAAAGAAGAAAAATCCAGGAAGTTTTCAAGAAATTAAGTTGACTAATTTTCTAATAAAAAAGTAAAGTGTGACAGGAACTCTGCAACGATACGAACGGAGATACGTGGTTTCGCACTTCGGCTTTCGATATTTGTTAATTCCGCAGTTTCCTTCAAAATTACCTGGTTGGTTGCTTACGTAAAAACATGATAACGATTTTAACTCAGCAAGCTCATTCGCGCAATTTCCATCCACCACTAGGAGAGCGACTGAGATTAATCACGCCATCAAATATCAAGGACCGAGCAAAACGAAACAAAATGAAACCTAGCTAATTTTCGCGTGATTGTACGTGTACCCCGCGAGCCCCGACGTGAAAACTCCGCCCCCGAAATCAACGTTGCCAGATTGCGTGATAGGATTTGCATATATTTTATACGTTGCTACATGGTGAAAATCCCCGATTTTCAGGACAACCCTGCAACCACAACCGAAATTCATTTACGGGCCATCCGTGAGAGAATATAGCGGTACTAATAGCGTTTAATCCCGGTGTAATTAATTTAATTAAACGTCAACAGTTGTTCTTTCCGCTTACCCGCGATCTCCATCATAGTGTTAGCATTATTATTACGGCAATACTTCACCGCGGCATTTGTTCGAGCCCAAACATTTATCAGGTTATGAATCGTGCCCTTTCTCTGCGGCTCCCAGCAGACGACTTACTTCCCAGGCGAGCTCATCGTCTCTCCGGACACACAGCACAAACCCCTGTGCGAAAGGAAAGCGCTGTAGAAACATTCGCTTGTTGTCAAATTTCTTCCAGGAAAATCTTTTATTCTCAGAAAATCTTTTTCAAATACTTTCATTGTGTCTACAAGTCCGGAAATAGTACTGATTTCTTAAGGGGGGTCTGAAAGCACTGACAAAGTGCGGAAATTCCGCAAAAGTTTCGGATTTTTTTTCATTTTTTGGTTATTTTTGTCTCAATTTGAGCGAAAAATTCAAATTTTTGAAATTTTTCGAATTTTGTCAAATGGAGTCACTGAAAAAGTACTGATTTTTTTTATTGAGGAGGTACTGAATTTTTTATGAATGTACTGAAAAAGTATTGTAAAAGTATTGATTTTTGGCCCGCCTGTTTTAGTAGACCCCTGGACTTTACATCAAATTGTGAATCAAAGTCTCTGCAAAATTGAAAGATGATTCAAAGAGATTCTCGGTGCTCGTCTATTTATTAATCTTAATCTAATTTTTATTTGCTTTGTTCGCAGGAAATTTTACATGTTTAGAAGTTGTATTTGAATTAAAAAGACGTCTAGGATATTATTTGTTCCACACGTACATTCCAACGTGTCTCATCGTAATCATGTCGGTAAGCAAATCTACTCAAAACTTTGACCTTTTTAAAATTAAAAATCATGTGTCTTTCAATCATATCACTTCACTTGCAGCATATCTTCGTTCCTTTCCTTTTTTCCATTAAATTTGAAAATTAGAAATATAGTATGCAGCATCAAGAACTTTTAATCAAATTTAAGGGCTAAGGTATTTGTAATTTCATTTAAATTTGACCTGTGTCGGCTAAGTCACGCTGATAACTGCAATCTCCAAGACGGTGTACAAATGTTATTTTCATAATCCAATCTAGTTCTTTAGAGCGTCAAAAATGTGATTCCTTTTCCATCCACTTTTGGCTGAGCTGATTTTTCACCGCTAAAAGCGCGAAAAATATCAAACCCAATACAGAGATTTAAGAATTGACTTTGCATCTCCAATCATAATACCAGAGACAAAGAGAGACCCTCCGTTTCTTTCTTGGCAATTGTGGAAGCTTTTACTCTCGGCGCTCCAATATTCAACTGCTGACTTACCTACCAGGTGGATGCTAGACAACGTGTTGAGTATTTTGTTTTGCTAACAAACGGAAGTTTACAAATTTGTCTGGTTCATAACGTCATCCGAAGCTCATCATCCACCTAGTAGCTAGGTCAACAGCCGAGAAAGGGTGCTGATTGGTGCTCCCTTACTGTTGCCGCAATCACACGCTGAATTTAGCAGCTGAATGTGGAAGTCAACAGTCATCGCCCAACGGCTGAAATTTCGCAAATTCGAGCTATTCTCATATATCAGATGTATCAAATCTACTCGGATAGTTCAGACAAATCCAACATTATAGTCCGATGGTTGCTGAAGTTCGCGTCACGCGCAAAATTCAGGCATCGGGCCGATGACTTCCACATTCAAGCCACATTCAGTGTGTGATCGCGGCATCTCCATAAGGAAGGTTTGAATCCCCGAAAGTATAAAAGTTTCCACCTGTCGCCAAGAGGCCAGTGGAGGGTCTTTCTTTGTCTCTGCACAATACGCAAAAAAACTGTCTTGCACCATGAATGCGGCCCCTAAAGGAAGTAATGACTTCTACGTCGAAAGACGAGGACGTTTAAAAGGAGAAGAGCCCTCACCATTTGAATGATTCGAGAATTCTCTGTAAAATGAATTGACGCTTGCGCAGTGGATTTCCTTTTGGATCAAGCCTGAGGCGGCTCCGGCCAGGGTGACCCTCGGAGTGACTTCTTTGCTGACCCTCTCGACGCAACATGCCAAGTCGCAGGCGTCACTGCCACCTGTGTCATACCTGAAGGCAGTCGATGCCTTCATGTCAACCTGCACCGTGTAAGGCTAAAGCAGAGTTCTCAACTAGGAAACCACAGCGTAACCCCTGTATAGAGGCTTTCTTTCTTATTCTTGTAGACGCTTCTTGCTTTCCTGAAAACCTAACCCACGTTCAGTAACTTCGCCGCGAAATGACCGACTTTTTGGAACTTGTCTGTCGTAGCATGAGATTGTTCCATTGACTTAAAACACAATCTAGACCGCGCACTAGGTCCGACTTTAGGCGGGGGAGGTAAGACAGCTAGGAGGGTAAATCAGGGTAAAGACGCGCCTTCAGCTTAGCTGATACATCCGGATATACGAACTAAGTGTACTTTTATCAGGCAACGGCACTGGCAAGACTGGCATTTCCATTGTCTCGGTACATATCGCCGATACACTTGCTGGGTGTTGCTGGGTTGCCTATCGTCTCGCCTGAAGGGACTCTAGTCTCGTCGAAATTTCCTAATGCGCGGTCTAGATTGTATTATACGTCAATGGACTGTTCGGTCAAAATTACAGGGGAAGGGAGGTAATGGTAATGAGTCTGATGCAAATTTTATATAGAGCATGGTGTCCATGACCAGGAATAACCGGGAAAAATTGGAGTATATCAGGGAATGAAAAATGTTTTGGGAAAAATCGAGGAATTTGTTCCAGAAACCGGGAATCTCTTCTTTTACCGCTGATGACTATTTTGTCTTTAAATTTTGCGGAAATTTTAAGGACCTATTTTTATTAAGGTTTATGAACATACACCTGAGTCGCCATTGCTGAGATCGTGGAGGTGACGATGGGAGGTTTTCAGAAAAGCACCTTTGTGAGTTGCAATGTAGCCACGTTGTTTAGTGTAGATGTCACTAATGCTTGTGATAATTGCGTATTGCGTAGTGGGTATCGTTCTGGATCAAACCAGAGGCGGCTCCGGCCCGCGTCACCTTAGGTGTCACATCTCTGCTCACTCTATCCACTCAGCATGCCAAATCGCAGGCCTCGCTGCCTCCTGTCTCCTACCTAAAAGCTGTGGACGCCTTTATGTCGACCTGCACAGTGTAAGATATCACTCCTCTGCTTTTTCTTCTACCACCGTCTTTCCACAAAACCACTCGTCTGCAAACTTAGCTATCTGAACCTTTATCTACTAACGTGTCTAGGATCGGTAATAGATCGTTTTCGATACATCAAATGGGTGAGATTGTATCGATATCGATTGGTTCAAAACATAAATACAGCCTCAAAATTCAATTGAGTAATCTGACGGAACGGGTTTTTTGTGATAGATTTTAGATTCGTATTTGGGTGCTAATGGGCCAAAAGTAGTGATATTGGTACGAAATTTGTCATATTTAGCTTTTCTGACAAATATTCGAACATTCTCGTTTAACGTTATGTTCGATTGTTTTGAACCAAACGATACGTCGAACCACCATCGGAAACGATCCATAACCAGGAAAACACGATATTCATCAGGAAATGAAACATTTTAGGGAAAATCAGGGAATTTGTTTTATAAATCGAGAATCTCTTCTCCAACTACTTAGAAATCATCCCGAGGTCAAATTTTGCGGAAATTTGAAGTACCAATTGTTATTAAGGTTTATGCTATAGAACGTGAGCCACCATTATTCACATTTCGGAATACACATCAGAAACTGTAAATCAACCTTATAATATAGAGGCTATTTATCAATCAAATAATATATCACCAAGAACGCTTTTAGAATTCAACTTTGAATTTGCGTCAAAGAATTTGATAAAAAGTAGGACAAAGACATTTATATCTGGAACCCCGGAGAAGCGTATAGTTTTTTCCCAAGAAAATCCCAGGGAAGTGGAAGAAAACTTCGGTTTCTTAATATCTACTTTACGGCAAGCAATATCATTTGGATCTAACAATAAGTCAAAGTTCTTGTTGGATTAGGTCAAATTGTTATGAATTAATGGAACATTAATGTCTCGGAAGACTCAAAATGCGTTCAAGTAGAGTTCAAATTTCAAAAATTTCAACCGAACTTTTGTCTTAGGGGGGCCAGACCTTCCCCAGGAAAATATAATCTAGCTACATCCATGGATTTGCCACGTCGCTAACTGAGGTACGCGTTCCAACAGTTTTGACGACGATATGAACGGAAAAATTGAATTGAATTGAATGCTTTAAGAAAAATGATTTTGCATCTGCATCTTGCCGTAGGTTTATTATCATCGCTGGTGTGCAAACGTACATATCTACATCACGAAAAAATCCCAGGATAACAGCTGCTCCACTAATCATTGTAATTTCCCTATGGTACCAGTCCATCAAAGCGTAAAATAAAAGTAGCACCTCGAATGGGAAATTCCTAGCCTTAAAAGGCTCTCCACCCGACTTTGCACCAGGATGGACCACTTCAAAGTGGATTCGCGAGTCGCAATGAAAGTTTTAATGGGGCAACTTAAAATGTGCGATGCTCCATTACCCGACCAGGGTCACCCTTTTTTCAGGGTGAGTGCTCCCGGAAAAAATCCTTAACAAAGTGCAACAAAGTTTTCAAAACTCGAGTCGGTTAATTTAAATAAATACTCAGAGCTGTATATTCGGTCGCGGTAGCCCATTGTACAGCCAACTGCTCTTCGGTTTTACATTAAGTTTCTTTTTGTCATAATTATGTGACCTTCACGAGAGAGGAAACTCAAACTGAACATTCAGATATTAATATTTTTGCACAGAGGAATATTTATGAATATCATGACACATGAAACTCCCAAAAATGTTTGAAAGTCGAAACTACAGCAGATGAATTTTGCAGTTAATAAAATACTGGGAGTCAAAGAACCTTTCTGAAGTTTTGATTTACCAAATTCGGGTCTTAGAACTATCGATCGAGTTAAAAATGCTATTCCACATCCTTCATTGGCATAAAAATGGAATTAAATTATTTCAGTACTCATATTTTTTTGGGACCAATAACCGAGGAATTGAATTTTTGATACATCTTACAAAAATAATTCCTCTGAAGAACATTCCACCGTGGACCTCAAAGCTCCTTCTCCCGCTCACAATCACTTGTTGTCACGTAGTGTTCCAAACAGTAGCACAAGTTAGGTAATGTTTCTAATTAATATTGCTGCTGTTCCTCAATAGTCGAGCAAACTGGCTCAATCGAAATGCAGTTTGAAAATATTTCGCATTCTTCCGAGCTAGTCATTTGATTGCCAATTTTTACAGTATTTCGTAAAAAGTTGAACTTTGTAGTGACTTACGTGAAGTTCATTGGACAAACGTGAGGAAATATCACGCGTGGTATTTTTTCCAACAGGTTTATGGATGCACTCCTCAATCAGATTGGACCGTGGATTCGACTCATGTAGAAATAAAGGGTATCAATTAATCAAAACCAGCCCGACAAAGGCCCTTCAAAATATACAGAGAATTTTTTTCTTTCTTATATTTCTTTCGCGTCCACGCGCTGTAATGGAGCCCGAGTCCCACTTAATTATCTACATCATTATGCATGTGATCCCTGTTGTCACATCAGGCTATCAAATGACCCAATGAGTAGACCCAATCATTTCCCTTGATTTTAAGAGAACGTAGAGACAAATTTGGCAACATACCGCTAGCCTCGTTTCTCTTTTTGCAACGTCAAGCCAACTTTTTAAACTTTTTTCTGCTAAACGGATCAGGTTACGCAAACTTTTTCTTCTTTTTTCGACTGACAAATATTACCATCATCGAGAGTAAGGGAGATAGGAGGCCTTTAACGTCATGTGAGATAAAAGGGAAAAGGATATATTTTACAAATGAGGGAAAAATTTTCCGGATGAGAAATTAATGCAGTATTAATTCACAGCTCTCTGAAAAGCTATGGGTGTCAGAGTATGAGATGAAAGGCCTATTTAAACAGCATGTATTTTACCGGTTTTTGGCTCTCTCCCTCTCCCTCTCCCTCCCTTCCTATTTTTCTCCCTCCTCTCACTTGCTCGCGTTATCCTCATTAACCAGACCCAAATGTTGATACTGAATTTTACGGAACCCTCATGAAAATCCGTGAAAATAGTTTGGCGTAACTACAAATGTTTCTTTTTTTGTGTAAAATGGTTGGGAAATTTCTTTCATCTACATTCGAAACTACAAAATTAACTTCTTTTTTACTAAATCTCCCGAAAAAAGACATGATAATACAGGTAGGTCAGAATAAGTTACTGAATAAGGTACCGAAAAAGTACTGTAAAAGTACTGATTTTTGGCCAGCCTGATTTAGTAGGCACCCTGGACCCAAAGTTTGGTAGTTCACAAGCGCAATAAATTGAGGGCGCTCCGGCATTTTCAAAGTCAACACCTTGATGTAACTATTCGCACTTGAGGGATGTCCGTGTTGCTTGCACACAAAATTGCAGGCGCTTTGGTTTCCTCGATTGCAAAAACGCTTGACTGCACTATTAATGCGTATGGGATTCGCGTGTTTTGTATTCAATCGCGTCCACAACAACGAGTTTCTTCTATGCAATACGTCAATGACTCAGGTCGGTAAATGCGCAACTCCAGCCCATGTTTTCAAATCTCCGCTTTTGATTTTTATTTATTTTTAAATAAAAGAAAAAGAACCAACCGAATCACCACCATGAAATGATCTGTGAATACATTTTAGAGAAACACACAGGAAGTTGCAAGGAAAATTATTGGTAGGTTTTCTTTTAAGAAAATAAGTAAAGCACAAGCAAAGATTCGGAACGTCGCGATCGGAGGTACCCATTTTTTCGTTTCAGCCATCGATATCGAAAGCAATCTATAGTAATCGAGGCAGACTGTTTCAGTCTTCCACGAGGAATGACTATTTTTAGCTGAAGTCAAAAACAACATGTTTGCTTTTCGTTTCCTTCATCAGATTCGTGCTTTTATGATAGTTGCTCTCTATTGGAAAATGTAGTCTAGTTGATGTTTATAATGACCTCAAGCTGTGGGAAAGCGGCGCACACTAGACCGAATCCATAGGAGGAGTCGGACAAAATCTAGAAATTTTGAAAGCTTATATTTTCGAAAATATGAGACAGAAAAGTTTAAGAGTAGTTCCATTGGTTTTTACGTGCAACTTCCTTTCTGAAACATTCCATGAAATTGAATTTGTGACGAGATAAACAACATAATTTGAAATTTTAACCAAAAATGTCTTGTCCGACGCGTCCTTTTAGCTCCTTCCACTGTGCGGCGATGAAAACTTTGTAGGAGCCTCACCGGTTCGGAGTATCGATGAGCCGCTTTCGAGGGCAGGGTCGATCATTTTTGAGAATTTAGGCTCAACCCAACTCAACGAATCACGCCTTGTTAATATCCGGTGAATAGGGATCCGCAGAGGGGGATCATCTGGGCAAACAGCGTGGCTGCCCCCGGAGCTCAGCGATTCCGCAAACTACTACAATTGATTACGTGCACGGCTAGATACTCGTGTTTACGACGAATCGTACGGCTGTGTTTGCGGAACGAGCAACTACACCGGATGCTAAGTCAGCTGCTATTTGCAAACCCCTTCCCCGTCATCCTTCGCCGAGCACCAAGTTGTTGCGGACGATGTGTCTAAGATACATGCAAACATCACTCGTGATAAATCGCGCCGCTCGAAAGTCCGTAGCGAATCCAACATTAATTTCGACTATTTCCAAGTCACTTATCGCTCGTTCCCTCGGAGTGAGACGTAGTTCCGGACGGGAATCATTACTCGCGGGAATGCTCTTGGGAAGTAATAAAGATACAAATGCATGGATGTAATCACACACCCTCACAATCCTGTTAATAACACTCCAGCACTTCCGATGATGTAGATCAAAAGGCTCTCATTTTTCGACGGAAAGAACCGACCTCTAGTGCCTAGTCTTAGTTTGTACCGCACACAGTTCTACATGTGTCACGAGACGTAATTAGAAACCCAATATAACGTGTCTATTGGTCGTTGCGTCTGTTCATTGTAATATAGCGTATCTACACTGAAAAAAAATTCTCGGCGTTTTTCCCACGGTCCGTTGGTACCTTTACCATCTCACTTTTCTACCAATTATTGGTAATTTTACCAAGACAGACAGGTAAGCTTACCTAAAAACCGGTATTTTTACTGTTTTTTTCAGGTAAGAATACTACCTTTATTGGTAATCAATTCCCGGTAACTTTGCCATTTTATCTCGGGAATTCTACCATAGTCGATAAAAAATATCGGCGTTTTTACCGAGGTCCAGTGAAATTACCGAGAAAGTTCAATAATTTTACCGAGATTTCTCGGTAAAATTACCAATTCCATAAATGGTAATTTTACCAAGAAAAAACTGGGATCAAATAGAACCCTGAATTCTTGGTAATTTTACCCTTTCCTTAGTAAATACACCGAGATTTGTTTTTCAGTGTAAATGCATTGAGGTGTTTCAAAACGGACTAGGCTACTTTACTTTTTCGAATGAAAACAAATCAATGTAATTTTGTGAAAGGTTTATTGAGAAATTTTCGTCAGACCGAAAAAAATTGGAGGGAATTTAAAACAAAAATGTATTCGTTTTTCTTTGAAAGAGGAAAAAACTGCGTGTCTCTGAAATGTCTTAGCAAAAATTGGGGGTAAGAAAATACCGAAACGCTGAAATGTATGGTTTAATTCATAACTGTAGTGTGTCATACCATATATGAAGGCCTCCCGACGTTAAAGCAACATGCCCATCAATGCAGTCCTTCGAGGCAAATTTAAGTTAATAAACAACTTAACAGCCTTATGGTTTAATCTAAAGTTTTGTAAGTAAGCTCAACAAGAAACCAAAACAAAATCCTAGCAATTCAGTAATTTCATGCATCACGCAGACCGCACCTAAGATTGATTCGAAGACTTACGGACAGTCAGAATCCTTTCTTAGAGATGTGTAGCTCTCAGATTTAGACCATTGGCGATTCTCAAAAGTTGACAACATTATTTTTCCTCAAATTAAATTTATTATGAATAATCAATTTCAATAAGGCATAGCCTGCCGCCAAATATCATGTAATGTACATGTGGACTACATTTTTCTATAAGGTACTACTATTCCTAACTCATTTTTGAAACAACGTATAAATACGCATAAACCCTACGCTGATAGGTGTTTCTATGCATGAGCTAGAAATAGTAGTTATTGCTGAACCCAATGTTGCCGACTTGCGGGAATCGCTACTGATATACATAGACATACTTTCTCACATATATTCAGTATTTATTGCACAACCTATTTCCTCACTTATGATAGATGTTAGACTTCTTACACAACATTAGTGCATAGTCAGAGACTTCATTAGTTTGCTCCTTATGCACCACTTTCTTCTTTCTTGTTTTCCAGGTAGAAAAGCATTCTGTTTTCTTTGACGTTGACAATGCCAACTGATTAACGTATCTCTAATTAAACACGCATATTTTACATGGCTTCCTCTTCAAAATTTCACGTACACATCGATGCTTCCACCGTGAAGTTTCAGAACAATCGCCATTAATGAGTCCCTAACTAAAGTTGAATTCTTAAATGTTCGTCATGTGCAAAGGTTCCTCCGTGAAATGTGTTACGTGGAACACTTGTGGGAAAAAAAAAAAAAAAAAAAAAAAAAAAAAAAAAAAAAAAAAAAATACGCTTTAATTTAAACTTGTGTCTTCTTATCTACGATGGTCAAACGCACCAGTTTATGAGCGTCCTCAGAAAGTTGGTAAAAATTCATTTGAATCATAAAAAATTGCATCCTCGGGGTAGAAGAAGTTGTTTTTTTACAATTTGAGAGCAATGGTCGGGTATAGTATGCGTAAATTAAAATTTAAAAAAAAACTCTGCCATAATATAAGTATCAAACTGATTATGCTATTGAGCTAATCTGCCACGCTAAGGAGAAACGCCGTATGAACATTTGAAACTTGCCAAATTTTTTCCGATATAATGTGTATTTTCAAGGAAAATTATGGATATTTTTCCTTGAAATTGGCAGGGATTTTGGGTGAAATTGCAAACAAAATTAGCTGAAAAATTGGAAGGAAAATATTGCTGAGTTTACCAGGAAATTCGTGTTTTATCAAAGGAAATTTGGCAACGCCTGAAGGTTCATACGGCGTTTTTCCGTAGCGCGGCAGTAATGCCAGTCTGGCATCTAGTTTCTCAAATTCTGTTAGTTTGACTTACGTGCACTCACAGTCAAAAATTCATTTGTAAAAGAGGTCATTGAACTTAAAGTCGCGAGTTGGTCTTTATTATCGTCGCTCCTCTGACAAAAGAGCGAATCTCGATTTCCACGTTAACCCCGTGTTCCGTTAAACTCTATGCTTTTCGCAGCTCATGTAAAAATATACGTTTCGACTATGTAAGTCTGCAACCACGTATCTCGTTTGCGGCACGGAAAAAAAAATGCTGATTCAACAATTCAATTGCTAAAAACAGTGAGTGCAATGTTTCAACGCAGATTTTACAACAAAAAAATGCTACTGTAACCACCTCCGTGGTTAAATTAGTTTACAATGTGGTTAAAGTAGCATTTTTTTGTTGTAAAATCTGCGTTGAAACATTGCTTTCACTGTTTTTAGCAATTGAATTGTTGAATCAGCAATTTTTTTTTCCGTGGGTGAATGAAAATCTCCGCTCTTTTTTTATTTCCTAGAGGAGAACAAAGCGACATCATTCCTTGAAGTTTCCGCAGAATTTTCTTTGTTCAGGGAAGAAAAATCACGGCAGTTTTTAGGAATCGTCGTTGAGTAGGTAGTTTTCCATTTAAAAATGAAGTATGACAGGAAGTCAAAGTCAACCGCGTCGCAAACCGAGATGCGTGGTTGCGGACTTACACCGTCGATATGCCAGAGGGAAGCCATGTTTTGTGTCGCCTCTTCGTGAATGTTCTGATTCGTAGGGTTTACTCATATTTTCCATTTTCTTTGTAGTTTTATTGAAAGACTGTTTTTTGAACGTATAAGGAAAAAAAGATTGCGCTATTTACTTACAGGAAAAACAGTGATTTCCAATAAACATTCCTACTGAGATTCCTCAAAGATTCATCTAAGAACATACATTGTATCGGAGTGACTGTATTGAAACGAATCTTACCCTGAGTCAGGATGTCTTCAATATTGAGATAGTAAACTTCCTCATCGCTAAGTTGCTCTGACAAGTTTTCCAGAGGAAAATCAACTTCGACCCAGAAACACCCTCGACCTGCCAGTTTTTCCTTATTTCCAGCTTATTCATAATCGATCGTATTCCTCTTTCTCCAGGTTTGTGTTCATGGCTCTCATGGAATATTGTCTGGTGAATATCGTTCTTGGGGATTCAGATTTACCCCCAAAACCTCAGCCAGAGCCAGCAAAGCCGGACAAACTTTTTGAATTAGCGGCAAAGGTACGTATACAGTCTCGGTGTAAACGATTCCCAATCGCAATGTGATCCCCTAAAACAGATGTAGATTTTAAAAAAAATACAATTGCATTCAAACATCCGTGCGCTCCCTGGCGCTCTGCGACTAAAACAGTCAAAACCCCCATCATCCCTAAGACCCTCAGGTAGGTGGAATTCCACCACCACATCTTACTCAACCTTCTACCATCTTACCATACACTCGTATTAAATTATTCTTATTAAACGTATTCCTCGCCTAAATTCAAACCAAAGTAGCATTTCCATCATTTGCAAATCAGGTTTTTGTATCTCGTGTAAAATTGAAAGTTCGGCACTTTCGATATTTTCCGCGCTAGAGTACCTGCATAACCGAAGAGTATTGCCATCTCAATCCATTTAATACAGAAAAAGTGTGCCGCTCTCTGATTGGTCGGCTATCATGGAGCCCCAAATTTGGCCCAATATAAACAAACCTTTGCCCCTCCGCTCCTAGTTTGGCACAGTGTAAACAAACAAGATGGCGAAAAAGTTCAACAAAATTCTAGACGTGATTTTGGGTATGATAGAAATTTTTGTTTATCCAACTTTTGAATTGAGTTCGGCTCGAACTTTGAATATTTTTGCTGAAAATTAAGCTTAGAGTGTGATTATCATTAATTTCTCAGCCGATAATACGTGCTCCTGTAGGTCGGGTTTGTTTACATTGGGTCAACTTAGGAGCTCCATGATAGGCTAAAACTGATGAGCCAATCGGAGAGCGGCACAGAGATGGCAATACTCTCTCGTATACAGCTACTCTATTCCGCGCAAGGGGGTGACGTGTTTTTTGCCTCTACCCTGGGAAAAAAAACACATTGGATCTACAGTCCAGACTCTTGAAAACATTGAACAGAAAAAAAAAAAAAACGCTTGATTCAATCAGATTTAAACTTAAAACAAGAACCCAGCCTCTTAATTTGAACGGATTTCCTTTTGATTTAAGCTTAAATCTGATTGAATCAAGAGTTTTTTTTTTCTTATCAATGTTTTCAAGTGTCTGGACTCTAGATCCAATGTGTTTTTTTTTTTCCAGTGTTCTTTTTTGGTCAACCAACCCACGTTGTCTAGTACCATTAGCCGATTAATTCTGTATACTTTCTCTCGGCAGGAGAACGCGCGATTGCTGACGGGGCAACCGACGCCGCAGCAAAGGCCGAACCCTGCAGCCGCACTAGCTCAAAAACAGCGGACCAGGGCCATCAACATCGACCGCTTCTCCCGGGTCTTCTTCCCGCTCCTCTTCACCATCCTCAACTGCACTTATTGGTTCATGTTCGCCGAGTTTTTGTAAAACCAGTCCATCGAGCACCACCCTCAACCTAGGTTTAGCAATAGGCTGTTAGTGCTTCGCTATTGCTTCGGTAGCACCGTCGTTCTCCAGTTTCCCTCCCCTCAGTCCACTTCCCGAGTTCGTCGTTCCCCTCACGAAAGAACCTAACTACATTTCAATGTTGCAACATTTCCCCTGCGGACCGATTATTGAAATTGATAGACAAAGCTGTAGACAAAGAAGACCAAAGCACTTGATTTTCACCGCAATTATGCAGATTAAATCGCGATTTCACCGGCTTTCCATCTGAAAACACCGTTTTGGGAGCCTTCCCATCTTCACACGTGACCGATTGCAATCCACACGGTCGCGTGGGTCGAGAAGTTTGAAATTGGTAGACAAAGCTATAGACAAAGAAGAAAAAATATATATTCAGGTATATATCCTGTTGGTGGAAGTGGGTGGTTGCAATGGACAGACGAAAGAGGTAATAGACTAACTATCTGCAACCCACGAGAGACCCGATAGTTAGTCCATCATTTTCTCCCCTAGTTTATAGGAACCACCCATTTCAACCAATAGGAATGCTCCATACTCACTATGACTTTTTTGTCTGTCGTTTTGTCTATCCATTTCAATATTCAGTCCGCTGACGAATCGCATTTTTACCAGAGGGAACAATCGGCATTTCTAAACTGAGATGTTATTCATTTTTCTTCTGATCATTACAAAAATTGAAGAAAAATTTGGACAAAAGTTGCACAGGTACACTTGCGTAAGAAATGAATTTTTTCGAGTCGACTTTGCAACCTTGGTATGGAGTTACGTTCCTCCGTCCAGGAAAAGACGAGTTGAACTACATTTTGTAATTTGAAACTATAAATTCTAGCCCGGTTTAAAAACAACGTATGTGCCATTAGTTTCCCTATGCACATAAGTGTTTTTCCAGAAGAGCCAGAATTGGACGTATTTCTATCAAACGAAACTATGTGCATTATGACGTGAGCCCTGTCATGCATATATTTTTATGAGTCTCAGGGCTCATGTCGTTAAGCACATAGTTCCGTTTGATAGAAATACGTCCAATTTATAGTTCCAAATTGCAAAATGCAGTTCAGTTGTGGTGTTTAATTGCATCGCCCCTAAGAGTGCCTTACCCGTCTTTTTGCATCCCACGATCAGTGGGTTCACCTTCTCGAATCAGCAAATTTTCGTGTGATGGATTAATTTTGTCTTCTTCTTCCTCCTCTTATTTCCAGGCAGCACATTTAGACAACTTTAGGCAGAATCAGCATAGCTGCATTTTACGCTGCATAATTTTCTCTCAAAATTATCATTTCGACAAAGAATCAAACAAGAAGACGGCTGGAAACTTCATGTAAATTTCCTTCGAATTTTGAAGAATGCACTTACAAAATTTCAAGACAGAATCCGTATTCTCTTTCGTCGAAAATAACAAAATACGAGAGGAAACTAAGCAACGGCTGATGTAGTTAACTTGATTACGGTTGAATCAATCCATTAATTAGTTGGCGTATGGCGAAAGGGAGATAATATTTTTGACCGAGAAAAAATCTGTTCATTGGGAACGTATGTCAGAATTTTACATTCACTCTTACATGAAAAGTATCCGTGCTAAACTTTTGAATTTTTACCAATCAAGATTGGATTGGGTCGAGAACCACTATACAATTTTGGTGTTCATTGTGAAATGGTTTCTTTAAGTTTTGACTCCATCATCATCATCATCATAAATGATAACACTGCAAAATTTTCTTTACGTCACTTGCTGAGGCATTCTGCTAGTCTTTGTCAACAAACGGATTTCTCATCTCCGAAGCAGTTCGGCACCTTCTCTTTTAACGGTACCTATCTGCCACTTCGGACTTGCTGAACTTTTGCTGTTTATTTTACCTTGTTAATTTCTGATTCATTCATTAATTTACTTGTTATTTTATTTTTTTCTTTCGAAGGAATTTCCCCCAATAAAACTCGAATCATCCCTCTTATAAGATTAATCGATTACAGAGCAGCTTATTTTTTCAAAGTATGTTTCCTTCGAAAAACGAAAGAAAAAATGAATTTACTTGGAAATAAATTCAAGTGGTGCTAATAAGTCTCCCATTTCCCGGTCCCCTGTAAGATACGTTAAAAATCTAAAGGTTAGTGCGGACCACTGAAAGTTCGTAAACCTCATCTTGTGTTTTTAAGGATTGGGCGCTCTTCGGGACGATGGAAGATTTTTTAACTGTAATTAAACCCCAAGACAAGATCGAGCCTGGTTGCATAAAACATATTTTCCTAACTTTTTTGTCCAAGATCATTTGCATAAATTATCGTAACCGCGAAATTTACTACCTAACCGGAAATTGGAAGAACTTAAGAATCGTTCAATACACTATTTTTTGCTCTACTTTTTTTAAAGGAGATAGAGGAGGAGAAGAAGGGGACAGGAAACTAGTTTTACATGGATATTTTGCACTGTTGAGTGACCAATATGTGTCCTGAAGCGACAAAACAGGCATTAATTTGAAATTTTAGTCAAATCTTCAACGTATTTTAGTCAATGTCATAATTCTTCAACCAATGATTCATCAGATGAGTCCGTTTAAGTGTAAGAAGCTCATCCGGTTTTTACTACAATACTCATGTGAAAATAAAGCTTGTGATAAAGAATTACCAGGGGTTTTAACCGTAAAAACTATGAAGGATCTTCGAATTCGGTTTGAAAACGACTGAAAGACGGTGAAACATGAGAAGTAATTGATTTTTCGCTATTTTCTGAAGTTTTCAGAAATTTCGGGACTTTTTCTTAGACGCTCCTTGAAATTTCCGCGTCTTGAAATCCTCTTAAAATTGCCAAAGACATGACACAGACTTGAAGAATGGGGACTTTCAAGGAGGTTCTAAGGTGGGTCCTAAATAGGTAGATTTTTAAGAAGCATAAACCGTTAGCCGAAGTTTATACTGACAGCACAAACCTTAAGTAGGTCTCTCGCGGAGAAGGAGTTTGGGATTTGAGATCTTCAACTTTTGACGAGCAAATATTCTAGAAATAGTCGACGCAAAAAGTATCTTACATATTATAAGGAGAGATAGAATGTCCTTGAAAATTCTTACATTCAACAACATATGACGCGGACATGTCTGACATTAATTAGGACTTTGCGGACATTAATTAAATAAGAAGTTTGAGAGAAAATGTTTCATTATAAATAATTGGCGATGAAATCAGATCTGGATAAACTACTGAAAATACTTAAATCACCTCATCTAGGTTCAGCGACGACTTGCAAAGGCGATAGCGTAACGTGAGGACTGTGTTAGCACAAGCGAGAAAATTTCAGGCGCTCTCATACAACTATTCGGCCTCGAGAGGTGTGCCTCTTGCATACACACAAAATTGCAGGCGCTTTAGTTTTCTTATTCTCGGCGCCTAGCTCCGCCTGTTGGTGCTCAAGGGAGGGATACAATCGAGCTGATCATAGACGCTGTTAGTGTTACGTTACAGAAAACGATATATATCGATTAATTATCATTAAAGCATTAAGAGATGTTATGTGATCGTTATTATTTGGATCCAATTAAATCTGACCGTGAATCCGATGGTGACCCCATGAGCCCAATAACGTCTATAGCGACCTCGGAGTTCAGGTGAATCATGTAGCATCGCTGAAGCATTGCTATTTATATTTTAAATGTTTTTTTTATAGTCTATCATACAGCCATCCCGGAAAATTTACTTGTAATGATTTGTAAAATTAATATTCGCGATGATTCTGCTGAAACGTTCCGGTAGGAAGTTTTGCGGAAATGTTAAGAACCCTAAGTTGACTCCATTATGTCGTAAAATATTTCAATTTCTGTGAGGATGATCTCTCGCCCAAATTTCTCATTCGCATTTTTCCGCCGAAAGCCATCTTTTTACATACAGTTTTTTTGCATTTTTTTATGTTTCGCAAACAAGCAATATCTTTTATCGAACTTCAAAAAAATGTAAGGGATACAAATCACCATAAGGAGACGTACTTCCATTTACTCTTCCTCGCAACAAGCCAGTTTTGAGCAGTCGGACGTGCTTTTTAACCACTTTTAAAAGTAAAAATGAAGACGTACGTAAAAGTATATTTTTTACTTCCTCGTTTTTAATCTATGATGAAATGAGGGGCTGTTTAAAGTTCTATCAATTAGGCTGTTTTCCACTGATTATAGCTTCTCCATTGAATGGTGCTTTCTGGGCCACTTTCCTTCTGCTAGAACTCTTCTCTTCGCTTTTGCAAAAACTCCATTTTTATTTTCAGGGTCCCTAACTCGAGAAGTATATATTTTTCTTTTCAGCCAATTTAACAGTGTTTCTCTACTCCTTATTGGATTCATTTGAGTGACCCTCGGAAAATTTCCACTCGACATGACGAGATAGTTAATTCGTCTCCGGTGGTGACCGCAGCTCACACACGAAGCCCTCTCGGGCAGTTGAGCGAGAAGCAGGTTATGCAAAACCCAGAGAGGCTTGCAAATTGAAAATTCGTGCTTTGGCGACCAGGCGAGACGGGTTTACAGAACCGTAATCTGGACCGCAGCCAGTGGCGTGGCGTGAATTGCGATGTATCGATTGTTATGCCATTTAAATCTATGGTAAAGAATCGATTATTATGGTGTTCGCTGCGCACACCCTGTTTATCGATCATTTTCCATAGGTTTAAATGGCATGACAGTCGATATATCGCAATGCACGCCACGCCACCGGACGCAGCTCTCATGAATGATGCATCAAGGGCGCATTTGAGACGCTGACTCCAACGTAAGGACGTAACTGAATTTTCACACGAACCCGGGAAATCGTAGAGTATTCTAGCCAATGAGGCTTATCTCGAAGTTGAGTGAAGTCTTTTCATCCGCGAAAAGGACGCTTCCTTGCTCTGAACTGCCCTCTTGATGGCTCGGTCCTCACATGAGTACCACATCGTAAACTTAATGCGGTGGTCAGTGCCCTTTTCCCTTCTTTAAGTTGCATTACGCATTCTTGAATAGCAACGCTATTCAAAAGAGCTTTCTCGTGGGAGAAAACAGAGGGCGCTGAAGAAAACCGCAACGTACTTTGGTCTAAATAATGGAGTAGTTGGTGCGCTAACCACAAAATCTTGAGGATTTCAGCTTGTATAAATCAGCAAATAATATTAAGACATCCAAGTGCCAAGTTTCCACGTCCAGTATTCCGGAGTTTTGCGCATACGACGTGATCCTCCTTCCTTCTCCGGTTTCTTTTATTACCTTCAGCTAATCCTTTTTGTTATAGTGGAACAACCAGTGCAAATGTGAGTTTAATAAAGGTGGAAGAAACCATGGCATGTACAGCAGTGGAAAAATAAGTCGCTTGGATCTAGAGTCCAGACTCTGAAAAACATCGACTTGAAAAAATACTCTTGATTCAATCGGGTTTTCGCTTGGATCGAGAACCAAGCCTCTTAATTCAAGCGACTTTCCTTTTAATTCCAGAAAAAATCCGATTGATTCAAAAGTATTTTTACTTGTTATTGTTTTCAATAGTCTGGACTCTAGATCCAAGCGACTTTTTTCTCTAGTGAGTGTATGAAATCATACACCGTGTTTCTCAAGGGGCGATATCTCCATTAACATTGGACGCACAAACTAGGCGTGCGGATGGATCTCATACTATTTTCTGCTAATGCATTCGCTTAATAAACCATGAAAACGCGACCCTGTGACTGGTGCTGTTCCTTCGTCCGTATTTTTCGTCTCCAGGCGACCAAAATACGGAGAACGCATTGTGACGTTTTGTACATGCACGTTGGTTAAGCATGTTTGAATAAATGGGGGTA